AATTATATAAGGTTTTTGGAAGATCAAATAAAAATTCTTTCAGGTTTTTGTTTGTAGTTAAGCACAAAGCTACACGAAGGGCTATCTGTGCTCTGGCCACCACGGGTATCGAAACTCGGTTTCTAGCGTTATAAGTCCGCAGATATGCCGCTGTGCCACTGGGGGGCGACTCCTTCAGGAAAAGTGAAACGGTTTCACAGACAACAAGCAAGCACATTAATCAACTCACGCGGATCTCTGCAGTTAACACGTGCAATCTCCAGAGAGAGAGAAAGAGAGGCTTAAATTGACGACACATCTTGATAAACTTTCCAAATACCTCCACTGCAGTGCACGTTTCGAATTTAAACGCATTTTTTATTAAATCCTTTATTGTGTTAATTGACATTATTAATACTAAAATATAATTGATTGGAATCTACCTCCCACTTGGTTGTGATCACGCGGTCATCTACTAACTCAGGGAGCCACAGAAAAATGTCGGAGGGGGGGGGGGGTAAATACCCAATATCCTTAGCTTCATCAGTCAGCGAAATTTTCTGGGGGGAATTGTGCTGAGAAAGTTTTGGAACCCTAACTACCTGTTATGATTACATCTGCTTGTGATGGATATATGATTATACGGTCGTCTGAATACACTGTAATAAAGATATGTCCATTTTTATAGTAACCCAAAATATGTGGACAATCTTATAACCATACTTGGATAAACTTGAGTTTTAAAGGGAAAATACGACTGTATGAATTATACTTTAGTAGGTTTTTTTTTTTAATAAGATGAAATTTTCGTCCATTAATCCTTCTCTTTTTTTGTTATATATATGTATGTATTTGCTTAACTCTTTATATATTTTAGGTCTATTTATTTCCATTGTAGTATTATTGTAATTTTGTACTAAAATGACACTTTTATATTACGTCTGATGGGTTTCAAAAACTGACCTTGAATTTTTCTGATAATCAGGCTCCAAAATTATTGACAGCAGTAATAGCGCCAGGAGCGATACAAAGGGTGTACTGTAACAGAGCCCCCAAACGCTAGGGTCCTCGTAATTTTTATGTGTTATAGAATTATTATATTTGATCAATTCTACATTTGATTTTTTTTAAATATCTTGTCCTTTTTATGTTTACTATAAAAGTGAACTAAGATTTAAAGGGTTTAATTTAAATCTCTGCACCAGGCCACAAAAAACCTGACGCTGGGCTTGATTCAAAGACGAGTGAAATTAGTATTTTGCCACGTAGAATACTTTCTTTTTTACTAGAGACAATTTATTCTTTTACATTTTATTAACGATAGCTGGAAATAACATGCTTTTGGTTTATGTTTTCACTTTTTTTTTACAGGCACGTCAAACGAAACAGTTATACTGCAAGATCTACTCAACACAAACTTACCAGCTTTAGCAATCGTTCTTGATAAACTTTTGGAACAGAAAGATGATTTGTCAGTTCAGAAAGTAAGTGGATGTTTGAATAAGATGTTCTTCAACATTCTACGTAATTAATAAAATTTAAGCGGCGGGTTAATCGCATTTTATAAGAACGCTGTTTTTGGTCGTGATTGATCGTGCTGAGTCTGATGACCATGATTACACATTATTATTTGTTGCTGTAATTTCCATTGTAGCACGCTTAGATGTAGGACGGAGAGTCTTAAAGTTGACGATACATCTTGATATACTTCCCACTCACTTTCTGCTGCAGTGAATGTCGATGTCAAAGACCGTTTTATACATATCATGTGTAGAAAAGTTCGTGGGTATGCAGCTAAGTGGTTTCACTGATATGTCGGGAAAGAGGATATCAGGAACACGATTTCATTCTCCTTGGTTCATAGAAACACTGGTATGAAAGTTTTTATTCTAATATAGCTGCTCGGTGTGAAGATAAAATTATAACCCAACAAGGAACTTTATTTACATTTTATGCCCAATTGCAAGTTGCCCATCCCTTATCTTGCTCGTTCAAGTATACTCAGACTTATGATTAATGTTGTATCCACTTTCAATCCTTTTCTTGCAAAATCTTTTAAATACAGTTTTCTGCACGTTTTCTTTCTCTCACCAGTGTTTATGGGGAACAGCCTGTGCACTGGTGGTTTATGCCCCTACTTTATGAATTATCTTGTGCGCCATTGACTATATCATTTTCACCTTTTAACAGTCACTTTTTTGGGTTGGGATTCTTGGATTCTTTCGTCCTGAACCAAATATTTAGGTAGTAAACGTTTGTGGTCCAACGTCTCGCACTTGCAATTATATGACATTGTATTACCATTTGCAGTCCGTTCAAATACAGTGCGATTAACCCTTAGTAATAGGTGAATGCTCACAAAAGGGCTTTTTTCCGTGTATAATTCTCATGGTGTGAACGGTGTTCACACGTTAGTCCTTTCTCCTACAGGTCTGCGTTATATGTCTTTGGAAGTTAACCCATCATACGGAAACAGAAGAAAGAAAACTAGTAATTTCTTCCTTTCTAGTTTACATAAGTATGGACATAAATACCATTCATAATTACGTTTTTGTGACATTTCTCAAATGGAAAATGCTATCATAAGTATATGACGTTTTCGAAAGTTTTAGGTTTCTTACTACTTAACACAAAGAAGCATTTGTAATTTTCGGAACAACAACAATAAAAAATAAATAAACTGGAGAGTGTTCGAAACTGTATATACTAACCGCGACCCGCAAAATATTTGCTGTAATTTTCATGCCATTTGCTTGTATTTTCCTTATTCTATCATTTTCACGCACGACATTTAAGCTACGCTTTCTCACAGGTATTATAAAAATGAAAGACTAACTGAGTAAGCATTACAGTTTCTTATAGCATACGAGGTAAATAAACGTTGTTGAGATTAACAGGACAGCAGAACTGTTAAATTATTTTAAATATTTGCTCAAATTAACGTTAAATATTTTATCTCACGTTCTTGCTTTCATCAACAACGTTTATTTGATTGTTAATGAAATTTTGATTTTCTTAAATAATCTAGCATCAATTTCTTAAGGGCCCGGCATGGCCAGGTGGTTAGGGCGCTCGACTCGCAATCTGAGGGCCGCGGGTTCGAATCCCCGTCCCACCAAACATGCTCGTCCTTTGAGCCGTGGGGGCGTTATAATGTGACGGTCAATCCCACTATTTGTTGGTAAAAGATTAGTCCAAGTGATGACTAGCTGCTTTCTCTCTAGTCTTACACTGCTAAATTAGGGACGGCTAGCGCAGATAGCCCTCGTGAAGTTTTGCGCGAAATTCAAAAACAAACAATTCCTCAAATAAATAAAATTCGATAACTTAGAAACAATTTAGTGAAATGTCTATGGGTACTTGTTTCCGTATTAGTTTAACTACTTTGTATTTGAAAACCATTAATTGTGAACTAGAATTTGTAATATTTCTAACTGGTAAGGATTTATGTTTATTACCTTGCACAAATAATTGTCGATTTACATTATTATTGTATGAGAATATCATGGTTTACAAGCCGAAGTAACATTTTATTTTACAAAGAAAATGTAGAAGTTGTTACACCTTGTTTGAAGGTTGAATGACATTAGGATTAGATTATACGTAGATATTTTACAGATGAATTTAATAAATAATGAAGTGTTTTCAATAAACATTTATATTTGGTTTACTTCCATGATATATATATATAATTTGTCTTAATTTCAAGTCGAATTTTCTAAAACAAATGGTGATTTATTTTTTAATTACTAGCGACTGGAATATCTTGGACTTCGTCAACATGTAGCAATGTCCTTAGAAACATTCACTAAGGCAAGAACAATAGCTGAGGAGATGTATCAACTTGCTAAAGATTTACATCAATCAACAACAACATATTATCTTGATGCTCAAGTAGCTATAACTACAGCATATAACTCACTATTCCAGGCCTGCATATGCTGTTTTCTTGTTTGCAGGTACCAAGGAGCTCTAGAAGAAGCAAAGGTAAAGGAAATCACTTTTTTGACTACGAAATCAACCCACGGGACATTTAATGCCATACAAAACTCGAGCACTTTAAGATATTCCGTAGATTTTTATTTCATGCTTTGTTCATACATATCGGAGATGTGACAGAGCAAAAGCGTAATACACTAAGAAATATTTACGATGTTAGTTAAAATATTATATTAAATTTGTATGTTATGCATGCACATCTATTAAAGATATTGGTGTTTTTTTAATACATATTTGTTTTGTCTCTATCACTCGTATATGGTACAGTGATGGTATTAGCACTTATTACATTATGCTTAAATGTCACAACTAATGTTCCCAATCAATGTGCGGAATAAATTTTTTCATATGCACCAGTATCAAGGCAGTGTGCGGATATGCGCTACCAGTTTATTTTTAGGGGGGGGGGGTATTTTTAGACCATTGGCCCTATTGAATCATTAGGCCGTTTCGCAGTGTTACCAGTTGGTTATTTGGGCTTTAGGCCTATCAACTGCCGGGGTCATTAAGGCCGTCAACGTGTTGAAACTCCTCACCAGTACTGAGGATGTGCGCGGTTGTATTAATGAAGTGCGCGGCACTTGGTTGGTTGTTGTGGATAATCTAGAAAAAAAAGTAAAGCTACAAGAAAGCGCTGAAGAGATACTGACATACAGGAGTGGCTTCAAATGGTGTCCTAATAATGTTCAATGTAAATAATTATTCACCCCATTTCTTGGAATCAACACCCAGTGTTACTTTTCTGAAAATAGTCTAAGCCCTGAATATACATCCAAAGATTAGTACGCTAAACTGATGCAGTGGGTGAATAAGAAAACAATAGTAATGATGGGAAACAGATGCACTTTTCCACTGGCTGTAACAGTACTTAAAAAAAGTCATTCCAGACTAAAAACAACAACAAAAGAACTAGGCTGTGGAAATTGTTTAGTTGTAAGTGACATTATAAGAAACCAGGATAGTCATAAATAATAAATAAATAACACATAACGTTAAAATCGATACACAATTAAACACATTTCTAAAATGTGGACTCTACATGTTTTGACGTTTACCATGCCATCATCAGCAGTGAACTTGCAAGACATAAGTGTCATATTTATTATTTTAACATTCTACACAAGTGCCATGAATTCTAAATTTAGCTTTCTTATTTGATCTATAGTTCTATTTACTAATGCAACTTTATAAGTGAAAGCAAGCAGGTATATTACAGCCATTGGAAACTAATTAACTAACTAGTCGTAAGCATAGAATTTGAGGTATGTGCTAAAACCAAAGACGTATATAAAGTAAAGGTTTGAATTTCCAAACATAAAGACCTAACTCTAAAAATCGGTTAGTACTGTTAGTTTACAATCAGCACATTTGAATAAATGATTAGAAAAAAAATCACTTCGCTATTCAATATCCTTGTTAGTTCAAATTGTTCTTAATCCTTAGTGGTTTTAACAGAAAAACAAAAGCGAAGACAAAGATATGTAAGAGAGAAGGGAATTCTGATTGAGAAAAAAAAACAAACAAGATCCTTCTATTCAAATTAAGTTTTCTTGAAGAAAATCCTTGTTTTTAAGTAAGTTTTTTGTACTGATCTGATCTTTAACATAATCAAAATCAGTCATTCCTACCTACACGTTGGTATTATACGTTATTTTGCACAACATCTCCATTCTCAATATTGTTTATTGATTCTAATCTAAAGTTGTATTATTTCTTATTGTCCATCAGAAATACCTTGACGAAGCAAAATGTGTAGCAGAAAAGTCTAATAATGATGATGACCACCAGATGGCGCTTATTCATCATGCAGATTGGCTATTGGCCAAAGGAAATTTGAATTATGCCATCAATGAATTTTTAGATCCCCTGCTTCATAAGAAAAACCTGAGTATGAAAAACAAAGGATTTTTATTACAGAAACTTGGAAATGCCTGCCGGTTAGTAATTATTCTACAATGTATGATGACATAACTCTTCATAAATGCAAATACAAGCTTTTAAAACACAAGTTATATTAATAACAATAAAGATATTGCTTTGCTGAATCTTACTATACCTGAAACGTTAGAAGTCATTTATGACGCGAGAAAAAATACGTCAAGACCACTTCCATTTTAGAATTATTTATTTCACTCTGCTACTTGATTAGTGCAGCCCCCCCCCCAGTGGCACAGCGGTATGTCTGCGGACTTACAACGCTAGAATCTGGGTTTCGATGCCCGTGGTGGGCACAGATAGCCCATTGTGGAGCTTTGTGCTTAATTACAAACAAACAAACAAATCATTAGTGCAATTCCCATGATTAAGTAAAGAAATGGACAAAATTAATAAGACGCTGTTACGTTTACAGCTCCGCAGCTCAGTGGGGACCTGCTAAGCATCATTTGAGAGAATCTATCCGTCTGGCTCAAAGTCTAGGAGATAAAGTGGCCGAATATGACCGGGCTACAGATCTTGGAAATGTGTACAGATCTGAAGGAAGAATTTCTGATGCCATAAAGCATCAATCTCGTCACATGGCTTTTGCATTTCAAAGAGGTCAGTTTATTTGTTAGTTAGACCTGATGTTCTTGTAATTATACTCTTAAGAAATTTAAATGAACACGACTATAAGAAGTCCATTATTAAAAGATAATTTTCAAGTTTCTGAATTCTGTAGGTGCAAATTTTACATCGTGTTAAAAGATTAAGAATTCATGTGTTCCGCATTAACGAGCCACTAGAATAATTGAAGGAGAATTCTTTATGAACTTTTAAAAATAATATACAATTTATTTAGGAATTTAGTGTTAACAAAAAGTGCCATATACAAATGTAAATTTGCATCTTTAGAATTGACTTCCAGTTATTCTTGGATTTGTACATGGCGAGTGTTTATTCGATACTTTTTTTTTTTTTTTACTGATATCGTTTTTGATGTGTAAAAGTCAAATAATACGTTCCATAAGTATAAGTTTTCATTAAAGTTGTATGCAGACTGAAGATAACTTCTTTCAATATCTTCAGTTTAAATAAACAAACTCTGTAGTTAGCACATGTGTTATGTGGGCTATTCGTTAAGAAATCAATAAAGGCTGATGTGAATAGTGGTGCAGAAGATGAAATGTAAGAGTTTGAAAGTGTTTTGATAATTTTTGGAAGAAAGGCGCACTTACAAATCGGCCAACAGATGGCAGGAACTTCTTATCTAGCGATGTATAATAGAAATCCCTGATGATAGATAGTTTTTACCAATTTAATTCCTAGGGGAAAATATCTATCTGTTCTAGTTTGTAATGATATTTTGTTTCGCTTTTTCAAAGTAATACATAAATAATAAAATGAAAGATTGGTTGAATTCAATGTATACAGTATTTCACCACACATTTTTTTGTGCTAGATATTTGAACGTTCCCTATGATATAAGTTTTGATTTGTTGTTGTTTTAAAGCAAAGCTACATAATAGGCTATCTGAGTTCTGTCCACAGTGAAGTATCGAATCTATTTCTAGCGTCGTATGTCCGTAACTTACCACTGATCCACCAGGGGGGGGGGGTTCAAGTTTTGATTTGTAACTAGCTTTTGCACTAGCTGTATTAAAGCATAAATAACTAATTCTCTCGCAGGAATCAATATTGTTTTACAAACTGAAAGGCTCCCCCCCTGTTGGCTTAGCGATTGGCTAGAGGGTTTATAACGCTAAAATTCGATGTGTGATTTCTGCTGCTGCTGACATATTACAAGTGGCATATCCTGCAGTTTTAAGTTTAACAACAAACAAATGATAATGATATAACAAGATGAGTGTAGGTGTCAGATGAGTGAATTTTAGGTTATTTAGTAATTCACAATAACCTTTTGCAGGAATTTAAAAGTTATAAACAACGAATTTGCAGCAAATGGAAAAACAACAACTTAGAATAGTTTGTTTTGAATTTCGCGTAAAGCTACACGAGGGCGCAAATACAAAAAATAAGGCCGTCCCTAATTTAGCAGTGTAAGACTAAAGGGAAGGCAGTTAGTCATCTCCACCAACCGCCAACTCTTGGGTTACTCTTTTACCAACGAATAATGGGATTGACCGTCACATTATAACGCCCCCACGGCTGAAAGGGCGAGCATGTTTGGTAGGACGGGGATTCGAACCCGCGACCCTCAGATTGCGAGTCGTGCGCCTCAACCACCTGGCCATGCCGGGCCTTAGAATAGTTAGTTGAATGAAATTCAGCAAAGTTCTTGACTTTTAGGTTAATTTTTGATATAATTACTTCAGTAAAGTATTGTTTAGATTGATTTAATTTCAACGAAAGTAAAAAGAATTTAATGGTTGACCCTTTTAATAGAAAGTACTCAAAAATATCCTACTATGTAAGACTAAGAATAAATACAGTTTCTAAAATTTCATGTAATGACATCATTAGACAAATGAATGCTTATTTGGAATTACAATTGTTATAATAAAACATTTATATTCTGTTTTTCACGAATTCAATTGCTGATTTTATTATTATTTTTTGATTTCACGAGATTCGTTCTTTCAGTTTGCTTCTTTTGTATTCTACCTATCAGCACTGACAAAAGTACTCTTATATTCATTGCTCATCTCAGGTTGATAAGTTACCTCGTCATTATTCAGAGAATAACACATATCACTAGGATAACATTGTCTTACATTCTCAACATACATGTATTTTGTTTTTCTTTTAGGGGACTTGTGGGGTCTGTCAGTAGCGTGTTTCAACATGGGATTTGCATACTTCTCCATTTCCCCTAAGCCGGATTTAGAAAGATCCATGATCTTTTTAGTTGTAAAGAATATCCTGTCTTTGAGAACACACAACGAACCCCTTCGAGGAATCGCTTTAAGCAATTTAGGAAAAGTGTTTTGTGGTAAGAAAAAATGGTATACAGAAGCACTGTTTACAATTTACTTTCCACGTAGAAATCTATGAAACATTACAGTGACAAATTATATAGTCTATACACCGCCCTTCTTCTTTAATTGAAGAAAAGTTGTTAATATTGAATATAACCCACAGACTTTACGCTTTGAACTTTTCCTAACATGTTTTGAATTATGTTTAATAAATCGCCGTTCAAGGCAAGGAAGGGAGTTATATTTGTCAAGTGTATGTGTGTACGTTAGATCGGTTGTTTAATTTCGAAAAATTGATTGATGTTTACTAAATTTGTTGGAAAAATTGAGGATTACTGAAGAATCAGACAAACTTTGTTTTAGAATAAACGTACCTCTTGGAAACAATGACGTAGGCTTTCAGAGGAAAGACGTGAAATCCTCTCTTCAGAATAACTGATTTTATTTTCACTAAAGTACTTTTATATTTTCACCATAAAGGTCACTGGATTAAAGATGGACCACAGGTGGCTTGTAGTCAAATTGACATATATATATATATATATATATACATTTCTCATTTTTGAATGCGGAAACAGCTAAGCAAACTTTACAGTATTTTGTTTAGTGTCGTAAAAACTGCTTACAGGTTTTAGGAGTTACTAGACAACCTTTGACCCGTTGGGTCACACACTATTCAGAGGTTATGAAGAATTCAAGCTAATTTCAATCTTGCACCGAAATGAAGGTTTATTTTGGGATAATTTACTTAAATATTTCAATCCATTCATGTTATTCATAATTCAAGAAAAGATATTTGATTGTTGATCGGGAGTAAAAGTAAAGACCATTTCATTTTTCAAAAAAGTGAAGTCAGGGTTTTCAGGTATTGTGATGAATTAGTTCATTATGTTGTGGTCTTTCGTCTTAAACCTTCTGCAAATAAGAAACAGTAACACTTTATTTTTTCTTCGAATTACCTATCATAACCAAGGCACATTATTGAGAAATTCTTCAAGATCTTGTTTTTGTCATCTTACGCCTTTTAATGAAGATGGGAACATTGACAAGGAAATAGATTTGAACAGAGAAGTTTCGTGAAGAGCGCGAACGGTAGTGTGATGGAAAATTACTCATGCTAGAAATTTTCATAAAAGTGACCCGAAAAACGGCGCTAATTCGGTAACTTGTGGCCCCGATGAAGTTTCGTAAAGAGCGCGAACGGTAGTGTGAATGATTTTTTGACTGAGAAAGTAAGCAAACAAACAATCTCAGAGTTTTAATAATACATAGATAGATAGATTTTTCAAGATCTTGTTTTTGTGATCTTACGCCTGTTAATGAAGATGGGAACATTGACAGGGAAATAATATAATAGCCAATACTCAACGAGAGGTTTTCGTTTATAAAATTTTGTTGTTGTTCTGGACATGGTTTTTATTTTATAATCTCGTCTCCATAGTTACTATTTGCAAATAGTCAATAATATTTTAGGTCCATTTTATTTTTCTTCTTTCTACGCGCCGTTATAACACATTTTCATCTCATCATTTAATTGCTATTGTGCATATATTGTTGTATAGAGGATATTTTAAAGTGATTCATTAGGTGAAATACGAATAGATAGATAGGTAAACCGATATGTGGCGCCATCTAGTGTACCTAAATTCATCTAGAAATTTTCATAAAAGTGACCCGCAAAACGGGGCTAACTCGGTAACCCGTGGCCCGATTTTAACGAAACTTGTTTTATTCTGTTTCTATTCTCATTTCATTACAAATATGGCGCTATTGTGCGCCGTTTTTGCTGTATTTAATTACAGACAAGCACACAAACAAACAATCTCAGAGTTTTAGTAGTATTTAGATAAATATAGTTTTCTTCTATAAAAGTTGCAATGTAATTTGAGTTTCATAAACACTGATTTAAAAAAAAATTAATTCTAAAAAACAGCCAAGTTAAAATAAAAGGGTTAGCTAATAAATATGCGATATCAAAAGAACGAAGTAATATATATACATATTTTACATTAATGTATGTCATATGTTATCTAATTTTTAAAAATGCCTTTAAAAAAGCTATAAGCTTTAGCCAATACTGTCGGATATCACTAATTTTTTCTCTAGATCACCCATCGACTTAATATTTTCCATCTACTACCATGTGGATGTGGGATGTTATTAGCCACTAAAACGTTTGAATAATGCTTTTCGGTTACTATACACCCTACAGATGTCATACCAGATGCATTCACTAGTCCAAACCAATATATATTTATATACATGTGTATGTGTTTCCCGCCTTACGTCATATTGTGCTTCCACAACGAGGAAAATAACAATAATTGTACCACTTGTTGATGATTCGTTTCTTCTAAAACAGATGTGAAGCTGCTGTTTTTGAATGTGTTACAAGAGTGTTTAGATATTTTCAGAAACATAAGAATAGTGGCATTCCAGCATTTGTAACAATTGTGGCAATACCCCAGAAAAAATACCAAAAGTTCGGTCCTGTATATAGACTCACAGCGGTGTTACTCCATTATTTTAACATAAGAATAGTGGCATTCCAGCATTTGAAACAATTGTGGCAATACCCCAGAAAAAATACCAAAAGTTCGGCCCTGTATATAGACTCACAGCAGTGTTACTCCATTATTTTAACATAAGAATAGTGGCATTCCAGCATTTGAAACAATTGTGGCAATACCCCGGGCTATTGCCACAATTGTTCCAAATGCTGGACTGCCACTATTCTTATGTTAAAATAATGGAGTAACACCGCTGTGAGTCTATATACAGGACCGAACTTTTGGTATTTTTTCTAGAAAAAATACCAAAAGTTCGGTCCTGTATATAGATAGACTCACAGCAGTGTTACTCCATTATTTTAACTTGGCTGGTGCCTCTAGATTCCGTAACCATTTCCACACACCCCAAGTAATAATTGCGAAATGGTTTATTTGTGAATTTGGAAATTAATTGACTACGTGTTTTGTGCATTTATAAAAATGTTTTCGTTTTAGTTTCAGTACTTGTTATTATAAATTTCCGTTTTTTTTTCCGTTGCCAGATCACATCTTCTAGCTCCACTGATGGAACAGCTCCTGCTACTTCCCAGGGTAAGATAAGTTTATTTTAGAATTGGTTTTACTGATTTTCGCACAAATATTCATCAAATATTAACGCCAAGTTTCTGTCTATTGGATGGTATTGTATTTTTGACAGTTTTCTAACGTTAAGCTATAAGCGAACTCATCGTACGAGTTACAAATTTTTAGTAATTCCATCAGCTAGTTTTTTTGCTCCCACTGCGAAACATCCTAAAGTGAGACATTTTGATTTGTCCCTGTACATCCGCCTGTCCCGATCTTGTGAACGGGATATATTAAGATTTAATGGAATGATTTTGACCAAAATTGTACAACAGGTACTACATACAACGTTTTACACGTGATTAACGTTTGGTCAGGGGTCAAAGGTTAAGGTCACAAGATCACTGGTACATATAAAATCTTCTGCGGTCTTGTGGACAGGTATTACATCATCAAATGAGGAGGGGGGGGGGTCTTAAGCACGTAATATTAATGGTGGCATAGGTGTTTCATAAACACGAATTGCACTTGTTTATTGCTTGTCTCGGAGTATGTTTCAATGATTTTTATTTTTAAACTGTAACCTCTATTATACACTGATATTCCATCATTAACTCTGCCCAGTTAGGTACATATAGTCGGTTTGATTTTATTACCATTGATATGAAACTCGCCCGCCTTCGATATGTTTAGAGCATAGTTAATTTCTGTTATAAAGTATAACTGCAATTCGGCAGCTAAATTTAAATTATCATCTCATTTCCAGGAGGCGTTGAGATCAATTTAAGTAAAAAAGCAACCATATTCTTCAAAAATACAGTTTTTACTAACGTGGTACGTTTTGGTCCAAAGCCTTCTGAAAGTTAAACAAAAAATAAAATAAAAACAGCAATCGCTTAAAACAAACATAATTAACGGTTGCCATGTTAGTATTTTTTTGTTAACAGGAAAGTTAAAGTTTACATACTCCCAGTTAAACACTATATTAAATTAGGTACATTATTCACTAGGTTAGTTTTCAACACTGATCTCTGTGGGTAGTTTACTTTAATCAAAAGTTATTATAAAATAAGTCGATGAGTTTGCGTGCTAGAGTAAATTACTTAATACACAGTTCAAAGAATCTGCGTCAAATGTTTAAAAGGTCTGTGACTTACGAAAGGATTTTGCCTATTGGTTGTCAGCACCCACTAAAAAATCAATTTGTAAACCGCACGGTGATAGAATGTATCTTGTCGTTCGCGGAAATATAACTGTTTTTGTTTGTTTAAGTTGTTTGACGCGACTTATTTTAGGCTTAGTTGCTTAATTAAAACATTCCAAATTCTTAGAAAGTTTGGATATCTTCTTATTTGTAGTATGTTCTTTTTTTAAGGTATTAACTTGAAATCAATAAATATACTTAGTGCTGTGTGAGGAATAAATACCCGTTAAACCATTCTTTATTTTGTTTCTTACTTGCAGAGGAAGATACTTCAAAAACCAGTCGTGGGAGTGAACCAGAGAATCATTTTGAGGACTTGAAAAAACCAGGGCACGTAAAAACAAAACACCGAAACCGTTCAGGTACAATTTTCTTGTAGCATCGTTTTAGCACCTCAGTGTGTGAAAAATAGTGGCTCCACGTGAAACCAATAGAGAATTTTACTTTGTTGTGTCTATGAACAAGAGTTTTCAATTTGGAATATCAACCCTTAAACAACTGAAAAAGGAACTGAGTTTATTTACAGTTTTAATTATGATTCAAATGTTTAACTTACAGCCACAAAAAAATTTGTTCGCAAGAAGTATCATATTAAGTTGCAACTAATTAAGACAGGAATTAATTAATAGCTTAACTTTCAACATGGTTGATATGTATTTAAAACAAGTGAAAGGATGAAGTAAAATAGCACAGAGAAAATGTATAGGTTTTCAGCAACGGAAGGCACTATAAAACA